AATACCTCTAAAAGTTTTGAGCATTCCAGTACACATTTAGCTACGTGTTATGTATACTTCATATACCTTTTTCAGTCTGATTTACAGCCCTGGAAACCCTAAGTAAGGTCGCTACAAGTTGGAACCAACTCCACGGCACATCACCACCACCACCACCAAAGTTACCTGAAGAAACTGGCTCTACAGTTCCATAAAGGGATGTTGTTCCAGCCTCTAAGTACTGCTTGCCTGTGCTGTGCTCAAGATACTTTCATTATATCTACCTCCCTCCCTGCCCCTATTTGACTCAATTCTGTGAATAGCTGTAGTCCTTTCAGTATTACTACAGCTGTGCACATAAAAACCACTCGCTTTTGGTAAAGTTCTAGTTTTTGAAGTCTTTATTAATGGAATTGTTTTAAAAATCCTATTTTTCAATGGAATTGAGGTATTATTAGCTAGCAAATGTCATATTTCTATTATCAGACTCACTCGTCTCCCCTGCCCTGTATCTTTTTTCTTCCTGTTCTCATCCTTCTATTCAATCTCATTAGCTACCACCTAGACTTCAACACAACTCGAATCAACCCACAGACCTCTGCCAACTCAGTCTGACAAATTCAATCCTAACTCTTAGCTCACCATTCAAGGGTCTGTACGACACAACCCTAACCTAACCTTTCCCAGTTTTTGTGAGTTCTCATAGATTCCTTGCCACCCCTAAATTCATCAAATCCTTCAGTTCCTTTGCTTACGCCATTCCACCTACTTGCAATGCTCTGCCCCTTGTACTTAAACCCTTTTCCTAACTGTTTGGGTCATTCCTAATCCCTATAAACAAATTCATTTCACCCTCCTCAGTTTTCCCATAGTCCTTTGTATTACAGCAACCGCCACGGCAGTATGATTGGCTACTACAAGAATAAGCAAGCTGTTTGCCAGGAAGCCATCAAGTTCCTTCAGGACAAACTCCTTCAGGACAAACTCCTCTCTAAGACTGAAACTCAAAGGGAACACATGAGCAGGCACAGAAGCTTGCTGGCGACCACATTCGCCTACTGGTGAGTGGAAGAGGGGGAAAGTCAGCAATGAAGAAATGGGCTGAGTTCAACCATGTTCCAGACTCCCATTGACCTGGAGAGAGAGAAGAGAAAGGGCTGGTTGGTCCAAAGTGGGGTTAGACCTGGAGACACGTGAGCCCATGGACAAGGACTTAGCCACAGAGGGCCAGAGCTGAGAAAGAAGCATCCAGTGGATATAAAGTAAGGGGAAACCCACAAGAACACCCAAACTTGCAGACAGTACCCATTTGACCTAGCCTCGATGGCTTGATAATCAGAACTCGACTAGAGCAAGATAAAACACCAAAATAAGAACATTTCAATATCTACCCTGAAATACAACATTGTCAATGCTAAGATAATATATATTATGTATATATACAAAGAAGATCAGTTGATATGACTGTTATTCAAATCAACCATTAATGCCAAAGATGAAAAACTCAAGATTTTTACCAACTTCTGCAGTTGAAATTTATCAAACATGATCAGGATGCATTAATAATTGAAATGTAAAAGTTAAAAGCAAAGAAGAGAGATAGAGCAGTTGGGAACTTTAGACTCAGAGAGGGAGAGGGGCTGTGTGCTGACGGCCGGGGGGCAGGCTTGTGGGGTGTACCCTTTGGTTGTTTGATGATGCACGCAGGAGACTGTAATCATTGAAATGAAATGAAATAAGATAGGATGAATGTAAAGCTAATGTTCTCGCATGTAAACTATCACATAATTCACAATAAAAACTTTAAAAAAAAGCAAAGAAGAATAGGTAGCTAGAAAATACAGCCCTGGTGATAGAAACAGCTCCACAGATCTCACGATAGAATTTTGCAAGACCAATAACTTATTCATTGCAAATACCTTTTTTCAACAACATAAACGGTAACTATTCATGTGGACCCTACCAGACGGAATACAGAGGAATCAAATCAACTACATCTGTGGAAAGAGAAGCGCCTCATTCAGAATTAGGCCAACTATGGAACAGATCATGAATTACTGATATGCAAGTTCAAGTTGAAAGTGAAGTAAATAAAAAGTCCCAAAGAACCAAAGTACAACCATGAGTGTATCCTACCTGAATTTAGAGTTCATCTCAAGAATAAATTTGAGGCACTGAATGCAAATGACAAAAGAAAACCAGACAAGCTGTGAGGTGACATCAAGGACATCATACATGAAGAAACCAAAAGGTCATTTTAAAGACAGGAAAGAAAGAAAAGACCAAAATGAATGTCAGAAGAGACTCTGAAACTTGCTCTTGAACGTAGCGTAGCTAAAGGAAATGGGAAAAAAAAATTGATGAAATCAAAGAGCTGAAAAGAAAATCTCAAAGGACACAACCAAAATACGCCTTAGAAATAAGGATGGCAAGACTTTGTCTACCGTTTTTTCTTCTTTATCTTAATTTTTCATTGTGAATTTAGTAAAGGTTTGCAGGCAAGATCATCAGTTTTATATTCAACAAATCATACACTTTGTTTCATCTCAATGACTGCAGTCCCCTCCCTGCAACAACAGTTATCCTGCTTCCTCCCTGTGGTTCCTGTTTCCATTCCACCCTCCTTCCCAGCTCTTGTCCTTAGGTATATGTTGCCCTTTTGATTTTGAATGATTAACCAGTAATTTTTTTTTTAACAATGTTTGCTTTTATTCCCACAGTTTTTGTTGTTGTTGTTTTGATGTACACAAAAGCACTCAGGAATCTACCATCATTTAAACAACCAAAGGGCTCACTGTACAAACCTGCCTCCTAGTTGCCAGCACACAGCCTTTCTCTTTCCATGAGTCTAGTGTCTTCAGCTGCTCTCTCTCTCCATGTTCTCACCTCTGCCGCCATCTCTGGTGTTGCTGCTTCTCTGGTTAGGGTCCCATGTTCTGCTCATGCTCTGCTCTCTTCGTGGTCTTAGGGTCCTCTGTTCCTGGAATGCAAAATCTTACTACTCCTCTCCGCTTTATGTTACAAAACTTTATGTTACCTTTACTGTTGAGTCTCATGTATTTCTGACGTATTATCAGAAGGGACAAGTCCCTGGAGAAAGACATTCTGCTTAGTAAAATAGAGAGTCAGCCAACAAGAGGAAGACCCTCTGTTTGGACTGACACAGCGGCAAAACAACGGGCTGAAACGTGCGATGACTGTAGGATGACGCTGGACTGGGCAGTTTCTATCTGTTGTACATAGGGTCACTAGGAGTCAGAACCAACACAGTGGTGCCTACCAACAATGACAACAACAAGCTGCTGGCTTTGAACATGGAGACAAGGCCTAGGAATGAAGGCTGCAGCTCTAGAAGTTGGAAAAGAGTTTCTCCTCTAGAGCCTCCCCAGGGAGTACAGACACCTTGGTTTGGGTCAAGTGAAACTGCTTTCAGACTTTTAATCTCCAAAACTCTTAGGAGAACAAATATGTGTTGTTTGAAGCCATTGAGTGGGAATTGTTACAGCAGCCTCAGAAAACCAATACAATCTCTATATAGTACAAGGGGCCTTCTACAAGTTCATGGGAAAATGCCATCGTCTTTTAATCCCTATTTCCACAAACATTTTGAAGCCCCCTCATATCTATCAGATCATATTGTTGGTTGTAGTGCTGGAAGATGAGCACCCTAGACTGCAATGCACTAGGTAATCACCCCAACAATGGACTCTATCGTGCCAGTGACCATGAAGATGGTGTGGGACCACGACACATTTCAGACATTCTATCTGCTGGACTAGGCTCCCGTGAGCCATGAGTCGGTGCCAACTCAGTGGCAACTGATGATAACAATCATCTTAGCATCCAGGTGTTCCCCAGTCACACTTACTTAAGCCTTGTGGTTAAGTGTCATCGAGTTGGTCCTAACTCACAGAGACCTTGGAGTGACTGGTGGGTCTGAACAGCCAATCTTACGGTTAACAGTCCAGTGCTTATCCTACAGCGCCACACCAGGACTAGTATTTATTTTATTGTATTCAAGACCTGAATCAAACTTTCTCTATATGACAGTTCCAGTAATCACCTAGCAGGTGTCTTGCAAGTTAGTCTTAGTTAGCATCAATGGAAACCAAGCTACTTAAACATGTCTATTTTCTTAACAGAAGCAAGGGAAAGTTCATTCATCCTATAGACTCCTACAGGGCTGCAGACTGGTGGAGCAGCCGCACTGACTCTTGGGTCCTGCTTGGTTGGGTTAGTCACCAGAGGATAGCATGATCTCTCTGGAGGAAGTAAAAGCTCCACACATTCACCTGTGAAATACTTTGTGATTTTTCTGTTTACAAAATAATAATAAAGCCGGTAAAACTGCACGTATGGCAGGGATGTTGTTGTTGTTAAGTGCCGTCGAGTCAGTTCTAACTCATAGTGACCCTGTCTAGGCTTTCTGAGGAGCGGCTGGTGAATTTGAACTTCTGACTTTGAGATTCAAACCAACTTTGCAGTCCAGTGCATATCCCACAGCACCACACTCCTGGACAAGCACACTTTTTCTGCTCACGCTGCTGTAGGAATGAGTTTTGGATATTTTTGGTCCAGTATAGCCATCCTATATGTATGTATTTTTCTATATGAGCTTATTTAATTTATTGTCTAATTATAAATTTTAAGTTACATAGGTAAGACATGACTGCATTCTCCTTATAGACAAAACTTTCGTTATAGACAAAACATTCTCCTTATTAACAAAACTCAGGTGAGGTTAAATAAAGCTCCTTTTAAGAACTATACCCCCCGCCACCACTACCCCAGTCTCCTTGGTTTATTTTGTTTCTCACTTTCTGCAGTGAATGATGCTTTAGAATATGTTATGAACAAAGGCCGAGTGAAGCCAAAAATACATTTTATTATGTAGCAACAATACTAAGCAATGGGACTGAGGATTATTGTTTTTGTGGGTGATTGGACAACAGCAAAGTCATTCTGTTTGTGTAAAAATAAACCAAAGTAAATCAGACTGAAAATGGAAAGCTTTTTCTCACTTGTAATTCATGATTCTGCTTGGAACTCTGCCTCTCCCTTTCAACATCATCTTATCAGGATAGACGTGAACTGTGCCGAAAGCTTGGCTGTCTGGTGCCGTTTCGATCACGCCTTCGAGACTGACGTGGTGGACGCCAAAAGGATCCTCCGAGTACCCACCATCGTGGGTGTGGCCAGCGAAGAAGCACACCACACACTCATGAGCCCAAATGACCGCAAGGGCGTCTCTGTAATTCCAGGCGAGGCACACGCTGTCAGAGGATTCTGGGTAAATGGGAAGATGGCCTGTCAGTCAAAGAAAAAGAAAAAGACTTATGAACCAATTAAGATACAGCACTCTCGTCACATAAACAGCTAAAAGCCAGTACTCACAAGAGATGTACATTGCGACTTTGTTATCCAAACAGTTAAGATCTGAGAGGATCCAGACATGCAAAGAACTAAACAATCTCGAGTGTCTGATGCACACCAAGGGGAAGAAGATGCTGCAGAGAAAGAAACCCTAAGACTCTGCCTTACACAGAGGTCCACGAGGTGCCCACACTGAGGAGATGAAGGACTTTCTGCGCAGGGCCCGCTGCAAAGCTGAGGTGCTGTGCTGAAACCCAATCTCGCTGATTTCCTCAAATGTGAATGCTAGAGACATAAAGATGGCACCCTAAAGAAAAGAGCAGTTTAGGGAGGGTACCAAGGATTATGAGTCATTCATATACTCGGTGACTTAGAAGTGGTTCATGCCATTTTCAAGATGCTTTTCTTCACAGCACCTCCATATCCACTTGACAGAGTAGATGAGCGAACGAAAAGCGGAGCATATCTATTCTTGGTCCCACAGTAAAACTATGGGAGTTGAGTAAAGAAACTGTTGAATTCCTGACGCCCAGCTCTGTGTATCTCAGGTTGCGGTCTTCACTTGGATGTACAGATTCAGTAGCTCACTGGTCTTTGCTTCTGTCCAATAAAATCACTCCTCTTTTTTCTGTTACTGTTGGTCTTTATCCCCTTACTTAAACATGCTTCTGTTTACTATCTTGGTAATAAAAGTTTGTTTGTTTGTTTTTAAATGTCATTAGTTAATAGGTCACTAAAGCAAGAAAAGAAGTCAAGATAACTTACTATGTATTTACATAGTCATCAGTCCCCTTCAAGCTGTAATAAGGTCATGGGCCCATAGACGCCACACTGGACTCACCCAGCAGCCCTGCGCACAGTGGCATCTCCTCCTTAGAAAATCACACTCTCGCATTTTCCTTCAACATCAATGGCCACCCATTCCCAGTCTCCTTTGCTGGTTTCTCCTTATTGGTCCAGTGCCTTCTCAGGAGTGCCTGAATCCTTAGGCCTTGGACTTCTATCTCTTTGTCTACACCTCTGAACCATAAGGTCAGTGGTTCAAACTCACAAGCCACTCCTCAGAAATCCTATACAGGGTCGCTATGAGTCGAAACCGACTCGACGGCACCTAGTAACAACATCTGATTTTGGGGGGGAAAGTGGCTAACACACAAACACACAGCAAGACCTTTTTGTTAATTTCACAATCCTTTCCTGACTCAACCTTAAGTAGTTGTATTCAGGATGTTTTTAACAAAACATTTTCAACTAAGCATTCATTTTATAAAAAGGGTTGTCGCCATATAAATATAACAGTATTATTAAAGCCTAATTTTACATTGCCTAAAATGTAAACTGTAAGTATAATCATATCAACAACTGAAATACTTACTCACAATCACCACCTTTTCTTGGTTTGTGTCAGAGAATTTAAGAACTTCATCTAACCAGTTCAGTTGTTCTTGGCTGAATCCTCCATTAAACTGGACAAACTGGGGCTCGGATAGGCCTGAAAGGAATTCAGAGAGTCAGATCCACTGAGCGTCATTACCCACCTTGTTCAGGTATTCAAACTCAGCTAACGAAGGGGCACTTGTACCCTTCTCTAGGGATATTTGAGCAGCAGCTATTTTATATTCAAGATCCACTAACTTAACATGAGAAGTCGTAAGAATTTAGAGCAATATATAAATCACATCTATCTTTATCTTACCTTTGATACTCTTCTGCTTACTTCATTGGCTTTCTAATACACTTTTTGTCTATCATATTGTGAATTGAGTGAAGGTTTACAGAGCAGATCATCAGTTTTACATTCCACAAATCACATACATTGTTTCATCTCAATGATTGCTATCCCCTCCATGGACCATCTATTGCCAGAATTTCCCTCTAATCTCTTTAGCTCTTGCATTCCTCCGTGTCTCCCGCTCCCTTCATCTTTCCTCTGTCAACCTCTCTCTTGTTGGATATTGTCTGCCCTGTCACCCCTGTCAACATGTATCTGCCCTCCAGTCCGTGAATAATTTTCCCTCCCCACCCTGTAACCATCATAAATTTTTTTTTTTAATCAAGAATCCCTTTCCTTAACTTTTTACAGCAGTGGTCTCCTACAATATTTGTCCTTTTGTGATTGACTAATTTCACTCAGCATAATGTCCTCCAGGCACATCCATGTGAGGTGTTTTGCAGATTCACTGTTATTCTTCAAAGTTGCATGTGGTTGTCAGATTCAAAATGGCCAATACCAGTCCATTTCAGCTCACTAACACCTAAGGTATCGATGTTTATGTGTTCCATTTCATTTTTGACAATTTCCAATTTTCCCAGATTCATACTTAGTACATTCCGTGTTCCAATTTTCAGTGGATATTTACACCACATGGTTTACTATGCTGGGAATGACAAAGAGGAATAGTGTTGCATTCATTGTCAAAAAGAACATATCCAGATCAGTCATGAGGTACAGCACTGTCTGTGATAAGATAATATCCATGCACCTACAGGAAAGCCCAGTTAATACCACTATTATTCATATTTATGCACCAACCACTAAAGCCAGTGAGGATAAAACAGAAGAATTCTACCAACTTCTTCAATCTGAAATTGATCAAACATGTAATCAATATGTATTGCTCATTACTGGTGATCAGAATGCAAAGGTTGGGAGCAAAGAGGAAGGATCAGTAGTTGGAAAGTATTATGGCCTTGGTGATAGAAATGATGCTGGAGAACACATGATAGAATTTTGCAAAACCAATGATTTGTTCGTTTCAAATACCTTCTTTAGACATCAAAAGAGACAAATATACACATGGACCTCACCAGATGGAATACATAGAAATCAAATTGACTACATCTACGGAAAGAGATGATGGAAAAGCTCCATATCATCATGTGAAAACAAGGCCAGGGGCAAACTGTGGAACAGACCATCCATTACTCATATGCATATTCAAACTGAAGCTGAAGAAAATGAAAACAAGTCCACAAGAGCCAAAATATGACCTTGAATATATCCCACCTGAATTTAGAGATCATCTGAAG